TTTGTCATTTTACTATTTCTGCATTTCCATACAAATTTAGGGTCAGTTTGTAAAAAGTCATCTAGGATTTTGATAAAGATTTTCTTAAAGCTTTGGTTCAATTTGGAAAAACCACCAGCATAGCAATGTTAAGTCTTTGAATCCATAAACATGGGTTACTTTTCTATTTGACTAAATCTTTTCTTCCCGGTGTCTTATACTTCTTCTGCTAAATTTCTTCCTATGTATGTTTTGACCACTATTATAATGGTGTTACCTTCTTAATTTCATTTCTGGATTATTCATTGCTAGTGTATAGAAACAATGTTGTTTTTGGTCTATGGATCTTGTATCCTTCCACCACTGCTAAACATAATTATTTATCTTTGTAAATGTTTGCTGAATTTCTTAGGATTTTCCGTATACAGTATCATGTAAACAGCAAACAGAGATAGTTATTACATCTTAGTCTGTTTGAGATGCTGTAACAGAATAACATAGACTGGGTTGCTTATAAACATCAAAATGTATTTCTCATATTTCTTAAGGTTAGAAGTCTGAGATTGACAAGGTGCTGGCAAATTTGACATCTGGGAGAGCCAGCTTTCATGGTTCATAAATAGTGGTCATCATGCTGTGTCTTTAATTTGCATCTCTCGAATGACCAACGGTGTTAAACATTGTGAAGAAAAGAGGGGGAGGTTAGAGGGTCTCTTTTATAAGAGTACTAACCCAATTATTGAAGACTCTGCCCTCCTAACCTAATCATCGCTCAAGGCCCACCTCCAAATATAATCATGTTGGGGTTGAGATTTCAACATATGAATAGGGAGAGACAGGAACCCTCAGACCACAGCGTTTTTACTTGGACCTTTCCAAAATGGGTGCTTTTTACATCTTTTTCTTCCTAATTGTTTTTGACTGGAATCTCCTGTACAGTGTTGAATAGAAACATCAAGACTTTTCACCTTGCCTTGTTCCTGACCTTTAGGGGAAACTGTTCAGTCTTTCACTACTGAGTGTGACATTAGACATTAGCTGTGGGTTTTCTGTTAGTTCCCTTTATTGGAGGAAGAGGTCCCCTCATTTCCTGGTGACAAAGAGAGTAAGAGCAGGGTTGCACTGGGCTGTTTTTTCTGTGCCTGTTGAGATGATTATACGGTTTTTGTCCCATTTTTCTTTGGTGTCCCATTTTTCCCCAACCTGTCTTTGAGCCCTAGCCATGCACAGGTGGCAGCAGCCCAACCCATCACTAAGCAAGCACTGCCTTAACAGCCCCTTTTTGTTCTTGTTTGGTGATCTCTATTGTCTTGTGTACTTTTCTCTCATTGCTGGGGCAAAATACCCATCATCCAAAATGAAGAAAGGAAAGATTTATTTAGCTTAGTGTTTATGGAGGTTTCAGTCCATAATCAGCTAGCTGGCTCCTAAGGCAGGGTGGCATGGCAACAGGGCAACACTTCAAGGCAGTGGCCAGGAACAGCAGCCAGAACAAAAAGTGGCATAACAAGCCTCTTTTCTTCCTCTATATGGACACAGCATTCCCCCCAAGGAGGTGCAGCACTCACAAAATCTCTGTGCCTTTCTCTTGTACAGGATGAGGATATTTATAAAGTAAGGATCCTGGCTCTCTGCTGAGTTACTTAGTTAAACTTCTAAACTTCTCAAATTGACACAAGATATCAACCATAACATCTATGTATTTTAGGAAACTGAGGTACAGAAGGGTTCTGTACATCTCTCATAGTGGAAAGGGTGCTCAATGGGGCAGTGGGTCACTAGCCCCTGGACCTGTGTCAGTCAGGATGCCAAGTTTCTCAGTCTCAGTCAAATGGGACTCACAGGAGCCAGTGGCCTTAATTTTCCCACAGGCTGGGCTCTTTGTCAAGTGCTATGGGCATATTGTTACAAGTCACCAGCCTAGTAACACTGCTTAGGGGCTCTACTGCCCATGGGAAAACTGAAGAACCCAGAGAGTCACACACAGAATGACTGATACAAGCCCAGCTGTGCTGCCACCTGCCACTATCTGCCTCTCTTCACCAGGACAATTGTTCCTGTAGGGACCTCCCATCCCAGGCACAGCAGGGTCAAGCCCTGCCTCTCATTCTCTCCCTCATCCTTTAATACAACTCAGCTGTGTTCGTCCTAGTGCTCTGAGCTGGGGTGGAAGGCCCATTGAGCCCAACTGATCACACTAACCCTTGCAGAGATGCCCCCTGGATGCCCGCTTACCCCAGAAACACACTGACATCCATCATATAATGGTGTCTCAGGCTGCCCTGAGGTCTTCATGAAGTCAAACTGGCAGTGCTGGGGAGGGCACTTGAGAGGTGGGCCTCACAGATGCCAGGCTGTGAGGTGGCCCCCATGTACCATGTGGTCATAGGGAACCTTTGTGCCCGTTCACGTTAATTCACCTTTGGGTCCTGGCAACCTCTGCCACTCAGCTGAAAGGCCTAGCGGGAAAGCTCTCCTATCATCTCACTGCAGTTGGAATGAGTGCAATGCCACTTTAGCCTTTGGGCCCTAATGCCTATCCTCTTGTCTCCAGAGCTTACTCCCTGCCCCTTACTCTGTGTCTAGCCCTCTTTCCCTTGCTCCATCTGCTCCTAACTCAAGGTCTTCCTTTCTGTTCCTCCATCTCCCCTCTGTCTGGAATGCTTCTTTCTCCTCTTCAGGTTAACTTCTCAGTTGTCAGGATGCATCCAGGTTCCTTTGAGACTCCACACTGCTGGAGCGGCCCCTATTGGCACTATAAATATCAAAAAAATTCCCTCTCTCCTCAGTGTTGGTATGATCATTTCACAAGAATACCAGAGCCTATGGTTAACATTAAGGGGAGAGCCTGGTTGCTAGACTTTCCACAGCCAGTCCTGGACCAGCACCTGGCACTCAGTGGGCACCACTAAGCATTTGGTACATGACCAAGAAAGAGAAAAGAACAAGCTGGCCAACCTGCCTTGGGTCTGGTGGCCCAAGGACCCAGTGTGTGACTGCTACTTGGTGGGAAGTGTCTTCATTGCTAGAGAGACTGGAATGTTGATGGGAGAACAGGTGCCCAGGAATCAAAAGAAACTTTCTTCACAATGAGGCCTATTGTGTCCCCTTAAACAAAGAGTCTTTACAGATGCTCACATGAAGACTTCAGTTCCTTTTATTGTCACTTTGACATGCACCAAACATAAAACAAGTCATAAACTTGTGCTTGTAACTCATATACAAGAATGAAACCAAAAACAAGTTTCCAAATTAACCACCAAGAAAACTACAAACCTAGGAGAGAACAGATGGGTTTCAAGAGTTGCTCTGTCCAGTATGGTATAAGGTATGACTGAAAAGAAAAATGCACTCACGGTTTAAATTGTAAAAAATTATTAAAGTAAACGACACATTGACATCAGTCCCCTGCAAGGTACTCCCTCTCCCTTCAGACACACTTATCACCGTTCTCGCTACTTTCTTGAAGCAGTTCTGAAAGTTCTCTTTTGAGAGAGTCTTTAGTTATGCTATCTTGGCTGTCTTGATGTTCTAGATGTTCTAAGTAGATTCAAAATATTAAATGTTACTGTCATTTGACTTTAGGGAAGAGTCAGAAATCATTCAGTGCCATATACAGTGAATAAGGTGGTTGAGGACACAGTAATGGGTTTTTTTTCTTACAGAAATTGCCATAAACATTTTACTAATGAGAAGTGATCAAAACACAGGATGAATGTGTAAATTTAAAAATTTATTACAGTAAAATTACTGCCTCTTAAAATACCCCCCTTCACAATGAAAACACTTATCCCATTGTTCTTGGCAATGTGTATTTTATTGTATTTTTTAAAACATTTACATTTTTTTTTTAGACAGGGTCTTACTATACATTCAGGCGGGCCTTTAACTCACCATGTAGCCCAGGCTGGCCTCAAACTCCAGTGATCTCCTGCCTTCACCTCCAGAGTGCTGGAATTACAGGTATGGGTCACCACACCCAGCCAAAAATTTAAACTTTCTGTTTATCTTTCTATCACCCCCCCCCTCCAGCTACTGAGTGCCTAGGGCAATTTAAATGTAAATTATAATGGTACACAATTCAAACTTCAGTTCCTTGATAGCCACATTCTTAGTTCCCAGTACTCCTTTGTGCCAGGTGTTACCCTGATATAGATCCTGTCCATCACTGCAGCAAGTTTCACCACACACTGTGACAGGTGATGGGGGACGACCTGGCAAAGGCTTCATCTCTGCAGCTGGTCTCTCGCGGTCTCCAGCTGGACTCTGCAGAAGCAGCCCTATCTTCCATTCTTCAGTGTTTTTTGGAGGGCAGGGGTAAGCTCTTTACTAGAGTATCATCAGCATTGGTGACTGCGTTCCATAATCACCTGGGGAGAAAGCACCTCTCAGTCTCTGGCACCTTCAGGAAGCTGCCAGTCCACCTCAGGATCTTGGGAAGCCGGCGCAGGATGAAAAGCACAGTATTCGGCAGTTCTAGGATATTCTGATTGTGCCAGTGATTTTTCCAAAGACAGACTCCTTGAACGCGGATCAGACTCCTCCTTTCCCTGGGACAAGGGACTGGCTGCCTAGAAGGGCATCTTAAACCTTCAGACCCATGCCCAGCTCCAGCTTCACACCCACTCAAATTCCTGCATGCTATTTTTGCAAGGCTCATCAGCCCCTCCAAGGAGTTCACCAGAATGTCCAAGGCGCCAGGGGAAGAAAGGGAGAGCTCCTCCCGCGGGCACCCCAGGCTGTGTTTCTAGGCCACCGTTATTCGTCGCTTCTTCAGGCGCCGCCCTGTAGTCAGGCCGGGAGTCCGGAGCCCTACGCAGCTCAGGGACGCATCCCGCTGCTGCACAGCGCACCCTGGCCCTGAGATCTCCAAGACACCAAAGTCCCCAACCGCTAAAGGAATGTGGCCTGAGAGGCACCCCCTGCCGGAGCATCCTTGTCTGGGCGCAAGGCCGGAGGCAGGGGGCTCAGGCGGCAGGAGGCGGGGCCTGATGGGGGCGGGGCCTGGCCGCCTATAAACCGCGCGGAGCAAGGCGCGCGCGCAGCCACTGTGAGCGCGCTTAAACAGCGGCGACCCTAGTGAACCTAGGCAGGCCTCGCAATAGCACGTCGCCTGTACCTCGTCCGCCCCAGCCTCTAGGCCCTCAGGACTACCGGCCCACCCACCAAGCTCTCAGGCCCACCCGGCCCAGTGCCCCCGGCCCGCCTACTGCTCCGGACCAGCCCGTTCCCCACAGCCGCGAGCCGCCATGGGGGTGGAGGGCTGCACCAAGTGCATCAAGTACTTGCTCTTCGTCTTCAATTTCGTCTTCTGGGTGAGTGGCGCGCAGGGTGGGGTTCGCGGGGGGGCGGACGCACAGCACCTCGGGCAGGCCCTGTTGCCCCGCGCTAGGCCCGGCGGAGGGGGGCGCCACGCCAGGCGAAGTTGCGAGACCACCTGTGGGCTCCGGGCGTGGGGCGAGGGTCCGGGGCCACCGCACCGCTGGACTGCCGGGACAGGCAGCGAGCCCAGGGGGTCGGCCTTCCTCCCGTCGCGACCCGGCCCAGTGGCCCGGCTAGGATCTCGGCCTTTCCCCGCTACGTGCTGGTTAAGGAGCCGCGTACCCCGAACCCCTTTTTGCTGAGGACTCGGACAGTCTTCTTAGTCGCTGTTTAGGGGACCACCCTGTTTCGCGGGCACTGAGGGGGCTCTGGGCGGGGCTCCCAGTGTCCCGCCCCCATGAGCTCATCTTGGTCACAACCCCTGGATGAGCAGCCGGGAGTGTGTATATGTAGTGGGGGTAGGGGGTGCTCAGATTCTGCTCAAGCCTTGGAAACCGTCCTACCTACTCTTACCCCAGCCTCATTCACCCTACAGCCTGCTGTATCCACTATGGAGACCTTCCTGGGAGTCGGGGTCCAGCCTGAGCTCAGGACCCCACGGCCCGAATGCACCAGGTTCCAGGCTGGTCTCACTCCTCACCCACATAGATTCCAGCCCCAGCCTCATCCGTTCCCAGCCTGGACCCTGGGCACAGGTCAAGGGTGACCCTACAAACCTGGGGGTGGGTCTCTCTGCAGTAGGGGTCTGGCACCTGTGTTTGGGCTGGGCTATCCACTTGGGAAGCAGGTCTGTCTCTTTGTGTGTGTCGTGTGTGGCTGGGGCAGGGGTAGGAGGATCTCTGTGCTGACAGGTACTTTCTCCCAACATAGTCTTTCTGCTGGGAAGAGTCTATACAGTGTGTTCTCTTTATTTTCCTTTCGTGTGGTGCTGGAATTGGAGACTTCACTACCCTCAAGGATGGGTGTTGCTGGTTGCTGTTTTGGACCAGCGACTGCCACCCTTCCCAGGTTCCTCCCTTGCTGCTGTTCCTCCATTCCAGAAGGGATGGAGCTGTTGAGGCAGAGGCAGAGCTTGTAAACTTTTAAAGCATCCCCTGGAGTATGGGACTGAGGACATTTGTTTTCCATCTGGACACCAAGGATCCCAGGGTGGATCTAGGGCCAGGGAGATGTTTAGGATGTGGTGAGGCAATTGGATTGAACTCAACTAGGAGTAGAGTGAGGGGCAGCACATCACACTTTTCCAAGCTGTAAGGGCTGTGTGCCTGAGGGGGATGAAGGCACTGCTGGGATCTCAGTGACCATGAAAAACAGTAAGGCTGATGGTTTGGGCTTCTCTGGCTCAGCGTGGCCCTGCGTGTTGATCAGTGCCCGCTTGCTTGGACCCAGCAAATAGGAGGTAAATATGCACCAGAGTGTCCCTCTGCTGGTCCTCTGGCCAGCACATGGAGAGGACACAGCAAGGAGCTGAAAGTAGCCAGGTACACACTTATCCCAGCTGCTCCCTGCCCCCCATCTCTCCAGGGACCTGGGTCTAGGTGAGTCTGGCTGTTTCCCAGGCAGCCTTATTGGAGGCCCAACATATCCCCAGAGGCGTACTTTACTGAGCTCTAGGAACATTCCCAAGTCTCTCTCTGTTTCTCCCAGGGCCCAGCTCAGAGCTGAGAACTTCATCATGAGAACTGCATCATCCAGTCTCATGGACCCACACATTCGAGGGCCAGGCATGCAGAGCTAAGCCAGGGGATGCTAGCTGGCACTGCCCCACCGAAGAACCTTGGCTGCCCCTAGCCCTCAGCATCACAGGACTTGCTCTGTGGCTGAGAACACCATGGTGCCGTGGAGTTGAAGCTCAGCAGACCCTTAACTACACTGTTCTGGTTCCAGACCTCTTCAGAGGGAGGAGTTGGGAGCATATTAGCTAATGTACCCAAGTGCAAAGTGAGGGGCTTGGCACAGGGTAGGCTCAGGAAATGGATGCTGGGCACGATGTCCAGCCAGGGAACCTAGCCAAGGAGAGCTGAGCTGTCATTTCGAAAGCCCCTCTGAAGAGAGATGTAGGTGCCCTTTGGCCTGGACCGACATGGTACCAGGAGCTCAGGCAGGAAGTGAGAACAGGTTGATGATGATTGTTTGAATGGACAACTTTAAAAGTTCCCTTTTAGAGAGGAAAAGGGTTTCCTTATGGAAGGAATGTCCTAGATAGCCTGGCCTGCTTCTCCAGGGAGGAACACTGGGTCACCTGCCTATGTTCATATGTGTACTTTCACTTACTATCTCTCATGCCCTGAGCTGAGACTCGGAGTCCCAGGCAGTGTCATACACCCTGTGTGTCCTAACCAGAGCCTTCTTGGAGGCCAGCAGGGTCCTGAGCTCCCTGGATGGCTGGGCGTTAGGCTTGGCATGGAACAGGGCAGATAGCTTCACCAAGTAGCATGGACACTGCCCCTTGAGATAATGTCCAGGGACTCCTGGAGGAGAGGGCAAGTACCTGAGACTCTTGCTACAACAGCCTTGGTCCTGGAGCATGTGACTGGCCTGTGGGAGCCTTGATTTTCTCATCTACAAAATGGGTATGACAGTAATCTTCTCCATTAGGCTGGCTGTGGGGCCCAAGAGAGGTGCCAACAGTCCCTGCTGGGAGAAAGGCCATTTCCCCTGCCCAGGACTGGCTACTCCTCCAAACTGATGTAGCCAGTGGCAATGCAGGAGGCTGATTAGCAGCCTTGCTACCTGGCACTCAGTCCCCCTGCTTTCAGATAGCATGTGACTGTCACTTAGCAGGACTGTTGCTTCCTTCCTTGGGTAGGCACTGCAATCCCAGCAGGCTAAGTGGAGCCTTCGGTGGCTAAGGACTTCCTGTGCCTGGTTTCACCAGTTGGGCAAGTGGACTTTCCTTGGTGCCTTCAGGCTATCTGGCTACCTGGCTTGCCCAGCTTTGGGAGATAACCCAACCTGACCACGATCAACCGTTGGACTGAGCTGCATCTAGAGGAGGAAGTCTGTAGTTTGTCCCTTGGTAGGCTAGCCTCTGTGAGGCCCCAGTGGCCTTTGGCTAGCCCTGTTCTGGTGCCCACACTTTGGCACCCTCTCCAGGAGAGGCCCCAGTCCAGTTTTTTTGTTTGTTGTTTGTTTTCAGCCCAGACTGGCCTTGAACTTGCAGTGATCCTCTTGCTTCAGCCTCCTGAGTGCTGGGCTTATAGGCATGAGCTCCCATGCCCAGCCCCGAGTCCATTCTTTCAGCAGCCTGCTGGGCTTTCTTTCCCCTTCTTGCTGTCCCAGCTCAGTTCAGCCTCTAGAAACTGAATTTACCTCTAATCCTTAGCTCAAGTAACTACTTTTTTTTGGTTTGGTTTTTGAGACAGAATCTCACTATATAGAGCATTGCTGACCTTGAACTGGCTTATGTAGCCCAGGCTGGCCTTCAACTGACAGTGATCATCCTGCCTCAGTCTCCCAAGTGCTGGGATTACAGGCATACACCACCATGCCCAGCTCTGAGTAACTACTTTTAGGCACAGAGTAAGAAACTAACCCTGCCTCTCTCCCAACTCTTATTTCAGCACTTGAAATCCCGCCAAGGGGGAGGAGATTCAATCATACAGTCAATAAGGCCAAGTCCAGGTGCCCGTGGAGGGAGCAGCTGGCACTGGCCTGGCATTTTGGAGAAGGCATGGAAGAGTAGAGGAGGGGCTGAGGAGAAGCCTAGGTGGCTGTCACTGTGACCCTGATTCCTGGGCCTTGCAATGCCCCTGAAGGGCCTTCCAGCATTAGAGGTGCCCACCTTGATTCCAGGACTCCTGCGCAGAGGACTGAGCTTACCCGAATTGACCCTCAGCAGTCTTCACTGTCCATTAGGATGCACTGTGACCAGTATATGGGGCATTCTGGGTGCCCCTCAACTTCTGTGACCCCTGGCTCCTCCACACATGTACCTTGGGCTTCTGGGGCCCTCCTAAGTTGCTTTACCTGGTGGGCTTTAGAGCAGATGCTGAGTTACCTGAGACCACTTGAAGTTTCTTCAGGGGATCCCCCAGTAGTGGGGGAAGGCACCTCACAGCAGGGGGCCATGGCCAGCTGCTAACTGGATTTCATTCCTTGGGTTATGGGCATTCTCTGTGCAAGGCCATAGAAGGGGTGCTAAACGTAAGGCCTGGCGAAGGCTAAAGGGGTGGGGATGCAGGAGGTGCATGAGAGCTTGAATGCCCAGAGTCTCATAGCCTGAAAGCACCCCGATTAGTGGTGAGGGTGCTCCGGCAGGGGGCTGAGGGAGCCCAGGTCCAGCACCTCTGCTGTCTTTGCAGATGTGTCTCTTCTTGAAGAGGTGCTGTTTCCCTCTTTGTCCTTGCCCCAGTTACTGAGATGACATCACTTCTGAGAAAGCCTGGGCAGCAGGACTGAGTGATGGCCTGGTTGTCCTGTGCTTCCAGTGGGGCATCTCACTCTAGTAATCGCCTTGGGCCCCATGTGGGCCTGGATCATCAGCACCTTCTCGGGGTGGGCTTGCAGCACTATGTGGCCTGTTACCTGTGCTTGGGATTCAGGTTGGCTTTGCACTACACTGAGACTGAGCTCTTGGCGGGGCTGAGAGGTACCCAGCATGGCAGGGGCATAGGAATGAGGACCCCAGGCTACTCAATGTTCAGAGGCCTAAGCCATGATTTCTATACTGAGGCCTTGGAGGCTTTGAGAGACAGTGGTGTGCGAAGCATAGCCCCCTCAATCCTGGGACCCCAGGGAGCTTACCTCTCACAGCCCTGCTCCCTGCTCTCCCTCTAGGAAAATAGTAGACCTCACCTGCAGGGAGCAGCCTCTCCCTGTGTACCTGAGGAGACAATAACAGATCACCTAGAGTAGCACCCTGCCATGCTAGGCTGTTCCAGACTCAGGATGACAGACTCAAGTCAACAGGGAAACAGCACTTCCTAGGGGACCACATGAGGAAATGGTAAGGCAAGGCTGGAACTACAGCCCTCCCACAGTCTCTGGGTCC